GGAGCGCTGCCTTACCCACCTCCCTTAAATAATGACAATTATTCATCTTGGTCTGTTAAGATGAAGGCCCTGCTGCAGAATCAGAGGCTTTTTGATGTAATTGAAAACCCCATCCCTGCAGCACCAACCAGAGGTTGGGAGTCACAGAACGTGAGGGCCAGGACTGCTATAATTCTGTGTGTCTCAGATCAGCAGCTTGTGCATATCCAGCATTTAGAAAATGCGAAAGAGGTTTGGGACACGCTGCGTACAACACATCAGAGAGATGCTGGTTCTTCAGCGTTGCTGTATTTTGAGAAGTTGACCAATCTGAGACTTGCGCCTGATGGAGATGTTCAAGCGCACCTGACAGAGATGAAGTTTCTGCGTCAACAGATGGTGGAACGCAATTTCCGTCTTCAGGAGGAAGTGTTTTGCTTCATGATGATAAACAGCCTTAATCGCACCTACAAGGTTGTTGCCAGTCAGCTTGGTTCCCTACCGGCCGCGCAGCTAACCGCGGAAAGAGTGTGTGCTGTGGTCCTGAATGAACACGACAGACTTGCTGCACTGGAAGTGAAGGACAGGGGGAGGGAAGAACAGAGTTCTAATTCCCCCACTGCTGAATCTACTAGGGAGCATGGAGTAGCATTGAGTGCTGTACGATGCTACAATTATGGACAGACTGGGCATCTACAGCGAAACTGTAAGAAGCCGCGCCAGTCAAGAGGAGCAAAGAGCAGCTCTACGAAGCCTGAGGCGTCAGGCAAAAGCCGTACCAAGTGCCAGGTGAAACCTGCAAAGGCTATGATGGCGAAAGGAACCACGCCAGATGTTGGGAACTCGTTCATAATCGACACGGGCGCGACCGTCCATATGTGCCCGCACAGACAACTGTTTTCGACGTTGAAGAAGCAAAGCTTCGCTGTGAAACAGGCCAACGGTCAAGAGTTGGAAGCGACCGGAATTGGAACTGTGTATCTTGAGAGTCTGAACTTGACTATAAGTAATGTTTACCTGGTTCCAGAACTGAAATTTAATCTGCTGAGTGTGTCGCAGATTGCAAAGAAAGGTCTGAAACTGACCTATGATGCTAAAAGCTGCAAGATCTACAAAGATGGAGAACTGTTTCTTACTGCCGGAGAGAAAGATGGACTGTATTTGTTGACTTTTGATCAAAGTGATTACATGAAATGTAATTCTTCTGATTCTAACGAAATCTCTCTTGCAGGTGTGACCAGTGTGAGCACCAGGAAGGTGGTGAAGGTCGACAGGGCTTTTCAGCGGGTGTATGCTGATGTGATTGGTCCTCTAGAACCATCTAGGGGCAATGCAAAATATTACCTTTTGTGTGTGGATTGTTTCACTAATTATTCTTGGGTTTATATGATGGAGAAACCGCAAGAAACTTTAGAAAAGTTTCAGGAGTTTTGTGACAAGGTTAAAAATATGCATGATGCTAACATTGATTGTTTTTTCACAGATGACAAGCAAGTTTTTCTGTTACAGAAGTTTCAGAAGTTCCTGGATGGAAAAGGGATAGACCACAAAGTTGCTGTCTCGCCAGAAGCGTGGAACAGGGGGGTCTGTGTGAGAGTGAACAAAGAATTGCAAAAGGGGATGAATGCGCAATTGCTGAGTTCACATTTGCCACATGATTATTGGGCCGAATCGCTAGCGTCCTATCTTCATGTGTGGTTGAGAAAAGTCTCAACAGAGTTGGGATGTTCTCCTTTTGAGAAGCTGTTCAAAAGAAAACCTTCTGTTGCCTATTTCAAGGTTTTCGGGTCTCATGTGAGAACAGAAGCTCCAGGTGGAGTAAAGAATGCCAGAGGCATTTTTGTGGGTTATGAAAAGGGTCTCTACAGAGTAATTTTGTCTGAATCTGGTCAGGTGATTCTCACAAAGTTCCTAGAGAGTGCTCCAGAGCAAGAGCAGGTAGTACAGACATTTCCCACAGGTGACAATTCAGATGATGGTGATGATTTTTCTGATGTCACAGGTTACAGTGGTACTGATGATGATGACAGTGATAACTCAGAGAGTTCAGTTGTAACAGTCATTGAGAGGAAATCTCACACAATGGATAGACCTTCACAGGTGAAGGAAGAACCACTGATTGCTACTGGTTCTCAACAGAGTCCAGAGGTTGAACCAGTGAGCACAGAGGATCAGAACCTCAAACGCAGGTCTGAGAGAGTCACAAAGGGTGTACCACCAAAGAGGTACTCAAAAGAGTTTGCTAACTTAGCTGTTGCATGAGTTGCTATTGTTAACAACTCAAAGCAGGTTAAAGCAGTGTCTAAGTCAGAGACAAAGACACAACAGAGAGTAGCTAGCCAAGGTAATGCAGAAGCACTCATTCCTTGGAAGCCAGACAACCAGAGAGGTACACTGGTGAAACCAGTGGTGGGGAGTTCCAAGGGTGGAACTGAAACAACAGGGGACTGTTATATGTATAACAACTGTTTGTTCTCTTCTCTGGATCATGTTTTGCCAATTGTTGCTTTTGGGGGAGGATGTCAGGAAAAAGCACCAAGGCAAAAGCCAGCTCCAGATAGCTGGAATGCAAAACAGGATGTTGTGGTTTCTCACTGTATTGTTGGAGAAAAGGTGGAGCCTATTCTCTGTACTGAGCACCGGATGTTAGCTCAGTGTGTCATCTGACCTGTGCTGGAAGTACAGGGGAGGAGAGGTGTGACTCTTCTAATGGAGACTGAAGGGTGCAGTCACATTTCTATGTACTGTTGAGTGACAGGAATAAAACATGTAGAAAGGACTCCTGTCTGTCTCATTTCTCCTCCCTGGGAGAATGCAGGGAGGGAGAGAGAAGCAGAGGGTGTGTTCTTCTCACGACTAATGAGAAGAATCGCCGGGTTTGTTTACCTAGCCTGCCGAGGTCGCAGACGGGGTAAGCACAGTATCTCGCTCAATTGCCTCGGGGGAGGCCAGGTACCTCTGCCTGTGAGCTGAAGATACTAACAAGCCCCACCTAACCCAACTCTACAGTTCTGCGACTATACGATTCTAATCCTTGCTTCCAGAAATCATGCACAAATCATGCACACAGCTATCCCTCAAGAAATCGCCCCTTCCCTGATTTTTGTGGTAGGGCTCGTCAGCCAAAAGCAACGTTCACAAAAATGACTGCATTAGGAGAAAATGTGCACAAAAACGGATACAGTGGTACCTCGGGTTAAGTACTTAATTTGTTCCGGAGGTCCGTTCTTCACCTGAAACTGTTCTTAACCTGAAGCACCACTTTAACTAAATGGGGCCTCCAGCTGCCGCTGTGCCACCAGAGCACGATTTCTATTCTTATCCTGAAGCAAAGTTCTTAACCCGAGGTACTATTTCTGGGTTAGCGGAGTCTGTAACCTGAAGCATCTGTAACCTGAAACATATGTAACCAGAGGTACCACTGTATTTTAGTGAGAACGGGATTTCAAAATGCTTTGCAAACGGTTTGCAAAAGTGTGTATATGAGCCAAAATGGTACACAAAATTGTTTAGGAGAATTTTAAAAGACAAAAAAAGGGGGAAAGGGAATTGGTGCAGGCTAATGCAGAAATAGCGGGACACAGGTGGCGCTGTGGGTTAAACCACAGAGCCTAGGACTTGTCAATCAGAAGGTTGGCAGTTTAAATCCCTGCAACGGGGTGAGCTCCTGTTGCCCAGTCCCTGCTCCTGCCAACCTAGCAGTTCGAAAGCACGTCAAAGTGCAAGTAGATAAATAGGTACCACTCTGGCGGGAAGGTAAATGGCGTTTCCGTGCGCTGCTCTGGTTCGCCAGAAGCGGCTTAGTCATGCTGGCCACATGACCTGTACGCCGGCTCCCTCGGCCAATAAAGCCAGATGAGCGCCGCAACCCCAGAGTCGGTCAGGACTGGACCTAATGGTCAGGGATCCCTTTACCTTTACTTTTAAAGCAGAAATATTTTCCCAGGCTTACGTGTAGCAAACAAATGGTTAAGAATTCAGGTTGCATGGGAAAAGGCACAGAAACACAGCAGACAATGAAAAATCTATTTCCAAAGAACAGATACTCCTTGCAAGTCACTTAATCTTCCTAGTTAAAGTCCTCAGCTTAAAAGATTTTCTAACAAATGAGACACTCGAAGACGGTAGGCGTGTGGGAAGAATATTCATTAACTAATTGCAATTGCAGGCTGGCTGAAGTGTTCTAGGATCATTTGTCCTGCCAAGAGATGTTCTTGGAGACTGCATTTATATAAAACACACACCTCAAAAAAGTGTTAGTTTGATTCATAGACTCGTAAAATTTTAGAGGGCTTAGGGACCCCCAGGGGTCATCTAGTCCAACCCCCTGCAGTGCAGGAATCTCAGCTAAAGCATCTGTGACATATGGTCATTCAACCTCTGCTTAAAAACATCCAATGAAGGAGAGCCCATCACCTTTCAATGGAGTCCTTTCCATTGTCCAAAGGCTCCTACCAGAGAAAGTTCTTCCTAATGTTTCCTAATGTTTACCTAGACAGCATCTTAAAAAGCAGAGACATCACCTTGCCAACAAAGGTCCGTATAGTTAAAGCTCTGGTTTTCCCAGTAGTGATGTATGGAAGTGAGAGCTGGACCATAAAGAAGGCTGATCGCCGAAGAATGGATGCTTTTGAATTCTGGTGCTGGAGGAGACTCTTGAGAGTCCCATGGACTGCAAGAAGATCCAACCTCTCCATTCTGAAGGAAATCAGCCCTGAGTGCTCACTGGAAGGACAGATCCTGAAGCTGAGGCTCCAATACTTTGGCCACCTCATGAGAAGAGAAGACTCCCTGGAAAAGAATCTGATGTTGGGAAAGATGGAGGGCACAAGGAGAAGGGGACAACAGAGGACGAGATGGTGGGACAGTGTTCTCGAAGAGACCAACATGAGTTTGACCAAACGGCGGGAGGCAGTGGAAGACAGGAGGGCCTGGCGTGCTCTGGTCCAGGGGTTCACGAAAAGTTGGACACGACTAAACAACAACAACAACAAAGTGTTTCCCTGACACTGTTATTTTACCTCTTTGAGCGTTGATGGGAAAGTCGTCTCTTGCAGGTAGAACTCTGGCACGCACTGGAAGGTGATGGTCAGGATGATGCCCAAGCAGCCCAGGTGGACGCAGGCAGCACGGTACAGCTCAGTGTTCACAGATTCAGAGCACTCCAGCGTTTCCCCAGAAGCCGTCAACAGCGTCAAGCCGACCACCTGCAAGGGAAGTAGGAGGAAAGGGAGACATGTTTTAGTCTGGGGTCTATCAAGCTATGGAGGGATGCGGGTGGCGCTGTGGGTTAAACCACAGAGCCTAGGACTTGCCGATCAGAAGGTCGGCGGTTTGAATCCCCGCGATGGGGTGAGCTCCCGTTGCTCGGTCCCTGCTCCTGCCAACCTAGCAGTTCAAAAGCACCTCAAAGTGCAAGTAGATAAATAGGTACCATTCCGGCGGGAAGGTAAACGGTGTTTCCGTGCGCTGCCCTGGTTCGCCAGAAGCGGCTTAGTCATGCTGGCCACATGACCCAGAAGCTGTACGCCGGCTCCCTTGGCCAGTAAAGCGAGATGAGTGCCGCAACCCCAGAGTCGGCCACGACTGGACCGAATGGTTAATTCTTAATTCTGACAAGGGGTCCCTTTACCTTTATCAAGCCATGACAGCTTCTATCTCAGGTGATATTTGGGTTCAGCTGCTGGAACGTTTGTGCGCTGGCAGTGTTGGTGAATGGCGGGTCCCAAGCGCAACACTGCAGGGGGAGCCTTCATAGTGACACCAACAGGGCACTCCCTGCTGGAGTCGGTTCTCACATTCGATTGCCTGTATTCAGGTCTGGCAGGTGGGGCGCATGGGTGCACATCTGCCTACAGAGATCTTTCCTCATGTCTGAAGGGCCCCCTCTCCATCCATCCCCCACAGCTGAGATTTCGCTTGGAAGAAGTGTTCAGATTCACAGAATCATAGAATTGGAAGGGAGCTCTTGGTATCCTCTAGTCCAGCGGTTCTCAACCTGTGGGTCCCCAGATGTTGTTGGCCTACAACTCCCATCACCCCTGAGCTCTGGCCTTGCTAGCTAGGGGTGATGGAAGTTGTAGTTCAACAACATCTGGGGACCCACAGGTTGAGAAAGGCCAACCCTCTGCAACGCAGGAATCTCAACTAAAGCATCCATGACAGATGGTCTTTCAACCTCTGCTTAAAAACCTCCAAGGAAGGAGAGTCCACAATGGGAGACCATTCAACTGTTTAACAGCTCTTACTCTCATAAGGTTTTTTCCTGGTCTTTAGATGAAATCTCCTTTCTTGTAACTTGAAGCTACTGATTCTGTTCTTTCCCTCCAGAGCAGCAGAAAGCAAGCTTGCTCCCTCTTCCATGTGACAGCCATTGAGATATTTGAAAATAGCTATCCTATCACCTCTCAGTCTCCTCTTTTCCTTTTAAAAAAAATCATTTTTATTGATTTTCCAATAAAAAACATCCAATTAAATATCCAATCATAATACTTCAATTTAAAAAAAAACTAAAATAAAAAAGATCAAATTATAGTCCAAATTGTACTTATTAATTTCTTGAGCCAGTGTGGTGTAGTGGTTAAGAGCGGTAAATTTGTAATCTGGGGAACCAGGTTCGCTTCCCCGCTCCTCCACATGCAGCTGCTGGGTGACCTTGGGCCAGTCACACTTCTCTGAAGTCTCTCAGCCCCACTCACCTCACAAAGTGTTTGTTGTGGGGGAGGAAGGGAAAGGAGAAGGTGAGTCGCTTTGAGACTCCTTCTTGGGGCTCCCCACGGTCTGAATCTCTGATACATATCTCTGCATCTTAGTCCTGTTTCTCAGTCTCCTCTTTTCCAGGCTAAACATTCCCAGCTCCTTCAACCATTCCTCATCAGGCTTGGTTTCCAGACATTTGATCATCTCGGGTTGCCCTCTTCTGCACATTTTCCAGCTTGTCAACATCCTTCTTAAATTGTGGCACCCAGAATTGGACACAGTAAACTTTCTCCATGCCGTGTGTAATTTTATAAACTCCTACCATCTTGCCGCTCACTCGCCTTTTCTTTAAAACGGAAAAGCCCCAAATGCTGCAACCTTTCTGCATTGGCTAAGGTGGCTGGGGATGATACGCTGTGTAGCTCAGCATCTTCTGGGAACCCAAAGCTCATCCCTTTAACTCTCCTCCGAGCTCTTGAGCCTTTGCTCCAGCAGGCGGTGCAAGTGAGCTGACTTTAAGTGCCAGCCTTCGCCCCAACCTCTCTGCACAGCAAATTTCCTCCTGGCTCCTGTTCGCTCTTCCTTCATGGACCGGCTTGGCTGGCAATTGTTTTCTGCTGTCCTGATTGCAGAGTTTGCCTGCTCAAGGTGAAACCGCAGCACTGTCAGTTTGACTGAATTCCTCCTTAACGATGACAACTCCGACTGTGCTTAACCTCGCACAGGGAAGCCGCAGAATGAGAGGAGTGTAGAATTAAGAGCCCCAGAGGGACCTTGAGCAAAGCACCGCTCTACTGCTCAGCCTTTTCTCCATATAGGTAATTTTGCGAGGTCAAAGAGGTCCGGAGGAGAAAACATGCTCCAGGGAAATCACACGGAAAAGCAATTGAAAGCGGTCTGCCTATCACTCTGCAAAGTTTTGCAGCTGAGGTTTTGTCATTTCCACATCATGCTGTTTGCTAAGATGTTTTGGTTTTTTGTTTAAAAAGAGAGAGAGAGGCAGAACTGGTAAGCCAATATCCTCATTCCAGTCATGGACACTGGGGGCCAAGCTGGTAAGTTTTCTGGAGATACTGTTGGGTGAATAAGCTGAGCATCCTAGTCTTGGAAAAGTGAGCGGTAGTACTGTGTCCATTCTTGGAGTTCGACAGTACTAATTGGCCCACTACACTCATGCTCCAGTAGGCCTGATATGGTACACCAGAAACAGGATGTGTCCTTGTTGTGCCAGGCCTTTATTAGGCTGTACTAGGTGTTTATTTTGGCTCTCTGTCTTTTCCATTTAATTAGTTATTTGTACGCGGGTGGCGCTGTGGGTTAAACCACAGAGCCTAGGACTTGCTAATCAGAAGGTCGGTGGTTCGAATCCCCGCGATGGGGTGAGCTCCCATTGCTCCGTCCCTGCTCCTGCCAACCTAGCAGTTTGAAAGCACGTCAAAGTGCAAGTAGATAAATAGGAACCACTCCAGCGGGAAGGTAAACGGCGTTTCCGTGTGCTGCTCTGGTTCGCCAGAAGCGGCTTAGTCCTGCTGGCCACATGACCCCGAAGCTGTACGCCGGCTCCCTCGGCCAATAAAGCGAGATGAGTGCCGCAACCCCAGAGTCAGCCACGACTGGACCTAACAGTCAGGGGTCCCTTTACCTTTACCTTTACTTCCGCCTAAGAGAGACGTATGCAGTAAATAAGAGAGGCAACCTGGAGATCCGATATTTACAGTAAGCTTTCTGCAGGTGTCCCTTTGCCTGTTTGCACTCAGAGTCAAACCAGGTGGCAAATTCCTTTAACCTTTCTGTGGCAGTGTTTCAGATCACATTTTCTGCTCGCTACGGAGTCCTGTATAACTCAGAGGCTTGCCTATTTTTATTAATACAGCAATGTGACTTTGCCAAGCCTGCTGCGCCCATAGGAAGCTGCCTTATGCTGAGCTCCAGCCTCCTGTTCTCACAGTGGCCAACCAGCTGCCTGTATAAAACCCACAATCAGGACCTGAGCACAACAGCAACACTCTCAACCTCCTCTGGTTTCCAACACTTGGTATTCAAAAGCATCACTGCCTCTGACTGTGGAGGCAGAACACAGCCATCCTCCTCTTCCTCCAGGAATTTGCATCATCCTTTTTAAGGCCATCCAAGTTGGTGACCACCACTGCCCCTTATGGGAAGGAGTTCCGCAGTTTAGTACATTTAGCATTCAGCTTCATTGGGTGCCCCTGAGTTCTAGTCTTGCAGAGAAAATGTTGTTGTTGTTTACTCGTTTAGTCGTGTCCGACTCTTCATGACCCCCTGGACCAGAGCACGCCAGGCCCTCCTGTCTTCCACTGCCTCCTGCAGTTTGGTCAAACTCATGCTCGTAGCTTCAAGAACACTGTCCCACCATCTCGTCTTCTGTCGTCCCCTTCTCCTTGTGCCCTCCAACTTTCCCAACATCAGGGTCTTTTCCAGGGAGTCTTCTTCTCATGAGGTGGCCAAAGTCTTGGAACCTCAGCTTCAGGATCTGTCCTTCCAGTGAGCACTCAGGGCTGATTTCCTTCAGAATGGATGCGTTTGATCTTCTTGCAGTTCATGGGACTCTCAGAGTCTCCTCCAGCACCATGATTCAAAAGCATCCATTCTTTGGCGATCAGCCTTCTTGATGGTCCAGCTCTCACTTCCATACATCACTACTGGGAAAACCATGGCTTTAACTATACGGACCTTGAGAAAATGTTACATCCTTATTAATTATAATTCCCACAGATAGCAGGTCATAAGAGAGTCATAGTTACTCCTGCCATTCATTGATTTTCTTTTTTTTATTTCCAAAACCGAAAAAAGAAAAATTACAAACATCAAATTCAGCATCCATATTCATTTTCTAACATAAACCTATTACATAATTAACTAAATTAAAATAGTTCTAATTACTCTAAATGTTTCTTTGCTGTATACAAATACAACACAGTTAGAAATTTAATATTAAAGCTTTTATATTATAAATAATATTTCAAGTTCCCCTATACCCCTCCCCATTGATTTGCTTTGCTTTGACAGATAAGGTGCAACACACTTGTGGCCACATTACAGATTCCTATAACGGCACACATCTTGGTAGCTGCCCAAAAGAGGACGTCTCGGTTATCCTGAATCATCCAGGGAGCGCAGGCTCTTGCCTGTGCCGTCTTAATCCTAGCAAATGCAGCCTAAAGCCCCGGAAAATGGGACCCATTAGAGGCAGATGTGAGACACCAATTACTGCAAATCTATTTGAATCCTGGAGCGCCGAGAAAGCAAGAGACGGAGAGGGGAGGCAGCGACGGTTCTGAGCTTGACTACTTCCTGGGAGAGAGGCCGAGGGCGCCAAAGAATCAGAGTTGCTCCGCTGGGATGCTGTTGCCCCAAAGCAACCAAGGGACTCAGAATCGGAGGGTCTCTTGTGCCCGGGTCCTGCGTGCAAGTTTCCCATTGGGGCATCGGCCACTGTGAGAACAGGATGCTGGACTTGATGGGCCCCCTTTGGCCAGATCCACCA